ACCTAAAATTTTAATTAAACTCAAATTTAAATTAGACAATGGGAGCGGTCAGTTAACTAAATAAATAAATAAATAAATAAAACGATGTTATGTAATATAATAATATATAATGGTTTACTATAACAATTTTAGTGATAGTAATATATAAATTGGTTATATATGATAAATTACGTCAAAGTATGTGATAGATAATAAAACACAATAATCTGGTAACTTAAAAAGTGATAGATAATAAAACACAATAATCTGGTAACTTAAAAAAACAATTAAAAAGAATTTTTTTTCAATTACTAATAAACTGAGATTCATCTCGGGCTCTGATTTTTTTAAACTAGTAAATGAATGTATATATGGTCGTAAAAAGCCGGTCGCAGGATGTTGTGCGGGTATATATATAAATGTGCGTATATAAATGTAAGAATACATTCTTATATATGCTTTCACGTATAAATTTTTTTTCCACATAAGTTTTTTGAATTGAAATTACAATTCTTAAAATCACATATGATGCTAATTTTGCATCACATATGTAAAAGACGCATGATTACACTATATTGCACGACGATATATAAATATAATAATACAATATAATACAACCTATGTTAATTCGGTGATTGGAAAGTTCTTGAAAACGCGGTTTTACAATAAAGCTTATGAATACCGAATATACGCATTTGACTTATTTTAATATTCTACATTTAATTTAACGATACATAGTCCTTTTCGCAAATCGCGGATATCTTGAGAAACAGAAGAGATAGCTTGAAACTAATTTTGCAGGTACAGCGTCATTGAATCGCGGAATAAGTGCGGGATCGGAGGATAAGCGGAGCGGTTGTGTGCTCGCCAACAAGCGCCGTACGAATCGTACGGCCCGCGCCTATTCCGCGACAGACTTGCAAACTCGAGCCGGCTAGCACCGAGAGCACCGAGGTGATGGGAGCCACTGGGAACACGCACACAAGCGAGAACCGTCGTCCGTATGCGTGACGTCAAGCTCAGCACGTCGGCTCGTCACGCACACGGACGGTTCTTGCTTGTGTGCGTGTTCCCAGTGGCTCCCACCACCTCGGTGCTCTCGGTGCTAGCCATATATGTAATACTCCTATATTGCTCGTTTGGCTTGGAAAGTTCCGAAAACATTACGGTGCAGACGATATATCGTTCTCTCACTCTGTCAGAGGAATCGTGTGTTTTGCGCATGCACTGAATCGAGGGAGTGGGGGTCAGTGGGGATGCGCAGAAACTGTTTATAAGATTAGAGTTAGAGAAGTTGAGTCCGCGCGGATATGTGTGCATGCGGGAGGAAAATTGCTTGGTAAGCGCAAAGTGCCTTAGATGTCGCATTCAGGGGAAGTAGAAAAATGTCTAATCTCTCAAGTCGGGGAAGTAGAAAAATGTCTAATCGAAAAAAGTGTTATTTGTGCAACCGCAAGCTGTCAAAAACAGAACATATTTCTGTACATGGGTAAGTCTTATAAAAAAAAGTATAAAAATGAGCTTAACAATTTTTTTTCACAATCGTAATTTTTCATGTTTTCTAAAGATTTTCAAAAGATTTGATTCTTCGTCAAAAATGGAAAGACGCTTGTGGATTAACCGACGTGGATGACGTATCTCACGTTTATGTTTGTTCAATCTATTTTGCCCCTGAAAATTTGAAAGTAAGGATGGTTACTGGCAACCCAAGAATNATTTTGCAACCAGAGTCAGTTCCTTCAATATCCATCCCAAATTCATTCTAATGTAAAATGACAGTAAGTGATATAGAAAAAAATGTCACATTAGGAGGTGTCGACGTATGCTCATCGTCGATGGACTGCGCATCTATTCGTGAAGATGGAGAACACAGTGACACATATTATTTCGATGAAAGTTCTTGTAATCCTGATTGTAAGTAATTTATTTATTACTTGGAATATATTTCAATGTAGAGTAATATTAAAGAAGATTCACTGTGACGGGCATATAAGACTATTAATGAGTAAGAATTTGACCTTTTTTTTAAAATTATATGCTTGTTTTACTCAGGTTCTGATAGAGATAAGGTCACGACTCCTAAGAAGCGTCAATTTCATGAGCCACGTTTTATCTCAGAAATCATCTCATCTAATTTTTCCACTCCGAGGAGAGCTCAACGAACGCTGAAAATGATAAAACAAATCGATCAAAAGAAGACGAAGAAACTGAAACGTTTGCAAGATAAAAATATATACAAAATTAAAAAA